TGGGGCAGATTTGGGATCCGTGGGGCAGGTGAGGGATCTCTGGGGCAGATTTGGGATCTATGGGGCAGATTTGGGATCTCTGGGGCAGATTTGGGATCTCTGGGGCAGATTTGGGATCCGTGGGGCAGATTTGGGATCTGTGGGGCAGATTTGGGATCTCTGGGGCAGATTTGGGATCTGTGGGGCAGATTTGGGATCTCTGGGGCAGATTTGGGATCCGTGGGGCAGATTTGGGATCTATGGGGTAGATTTGGGATCTCTGGGGCAGATTTGGGATCTCTGGGGCAGATTTGGGATCCGTGGGGAATTTTTGGGATCCGTGGGGCAGATTTGGGATCCGTGGGGCAGATTTGGGATCCGTGGGGCAGATTTGGGATCTATGGGGCAGGATTGGGATCTATGGGGCAGATTTGGGATCTATGGGGCAGATTTGGGATCTATGGGGCAGATTTGGATCTATGGGGCAGATTTGGGATCTGTGGGGCAGATTTGGGATCTATGGGGTAAATTTGGGATCTATGGGGCAGATTTGGGATCTGTGGGGCATTTTTGGGATCTATGGGGCAGATTTGGGATCTCTGGGGCAGATTTGGGATCTCTGGGGCAGATTTGGGATCTGTGGGGCAGATTTGGGATCTATGGGGCAGATTTGGGATCTATGGGGTAAATTTGGGATCTATGGGGCAGATTTGGGATCTATGGGGCATTTTTGGGATCCATGGGGCAGATTTGGGATCTCTGGGGCAGATTTGGGATCTATGGGGCAGATTTGGGATCCGTGGGGCAGATTTGGGATCTCTGGGGCAGATTTGGGATCTATGGGGCAGATTTGGGATCTATGGGGCAGATTTGGGATCCGTGGGGCAGATTTGGGATCCGTGGGGCAGATTTGGGATCTCTGGGGCAGATTTGGGATCCGTGGGGCAGATTTGGGATCTATGGGGAAGATTTGGGATCTATGGGGTAAATTTGGGATCTATGGGGCAGATTTGGGATCTCTGGGGCAGATTTGGATCCGTGGGGCAGGTGAGGGATCTATGGGGCAGATTTGGGATCTCTGGGGCAGATTTGGATCCGTGGGGCAGGTGAGGGATCTATGGGGCAGATTTGGGATCTATGGGGCAGATTTGGGATCCGTGGGGCAGATTTGGAATCTATGGGGCAGATTTGGGATCTGTGGGGCAGATTTGGGATCTGTGGGGCAGATTTGGGATCTATGGGGTAAATTTGGGATCCGTGGGGCATTTTTGGGATCTCTGGGGCAGATTTGGGATCTCTGGGGCAGATTTGGGATCCGTGGGGCAGATTTGGGATCTGTGGGGCAGATTTGGGATCTGTGGGGCAGATTTGGGATCTGTGGGGCAGATTTGGGATCCGTGGGGCAGATTTGGGATCTATGGGGCAGATTTGGGATCTCTGGGGCAGATTTGGGATCTGTGGGGCAGATTTGGGATCTGTGGGGCAGATTTGGGATCTATGGGGCAGATTTGGGATCCATGGGGCAGATTTGGGATCTGTGGGGCAGATTTGGGATCTATGGGGCAGATTTGGGATCCGTGGGGCAGATTTGGAATCTATGGGGCAGATTTGGATCTATGGGGCAGATTTGGGATCCATGGGGCAGATTTGGGATCTGTGGGGCAGATTTGGATCTATGGGGCAGATTTGGATCTATGGGGCAGATTTGGGATCCGTGGGGCAGATTTGGGATCCGTGGGGCAGATTTGGGATCCGTGGGGCAGATTTGGGATCTATGGGGCAGATTTGGGATCTATGGGGCAGCTCAGCCCCTCTCTGGCCACGCCCCCCAGGAGAAAATCTCGCTCCGATTGGCCGAGCCGGAGGGGGCGGGGCTTAGCCCAGAAGAGGTGGCGGCCATGTTGGATGGACAGGTAACCCCGCCCCATTGGCCACGCCCCCTTTGACACAGACCACGCCCCTTTCGCCGAGGCCACGCCCCTTTCATGGTTGCCCCGCCCCCTTTCCCACTGCCATGCAAATGTAAACGAAGCCCCGCCCATTTTCCCATTGGCCCCGCCCTTTCCCCCATGACCACGCCCCTTTCCACATGGACACGCCCCTTTCACCTGACCACGCCCCTTTCCCCAATGGCCACGCCCCTTCCCAATGGCCACGCCCCTTCCCAATGGCCACGCCCCTTCCCCTAATGGCCACGCCCCTTCCCCCAATGGCCACGCCCCTTTCACGCGACCACGCCTCTTCCCCTAATGGCCACGCCCCTTTCCAATGGCCACGCCCCTTCCCCCTAATGGCCACGCCCCTTTCCATACTGGCCACGCCCCTTTCCCCATGTCCACGCCCAATTCCCCTATGGCCACGCCCCTTTCCCCAATGGCCACGCCCCTTCGCCATTGACCACGCCCCTTCCCCAAATGGCCACGCCCCTTCCCCATTGACCACGCCCCTTCCCCTAATGGGCACGCCCCTTTCCCAATATCCCCGCCCCTTTCCCCATGACCACGCCCCTTTCCCCATGACCACGCCCCTTTCCCCATGACCACGCCCCTTTCCCCATAACCACGCCCCTTTCCCCAAGCCACGCCCTCCCTTGGTCCCGCCCCTTTCCCAATGACCACGCCCCCTTCCAGTGACCACGCCCCCTCCCCCACGCCCACGCCCCTTTCCCCATGAACACGCCCCTTCCCCAATATCCACGCCCCTTCCCCTATTGGCCACGCCCCTTTCCCCATGACCACGCCCATTTCTCCAATGGACACTCGACCGAAGGCCACGCCCCCTTCCCCATGGCCACGCCCCTTTCCCCATGACCACGCCCCTTTCCCTAAGGCCACGCCCCTTTCCCTAAGGCCACGCCCCTTTCCCAATGGCCACGTCCATTTCCAAAAATGGCCACGCCCCTTCCTCAATGGCCACGCCCCTTTCCCCATGACCACGCCCCTTTCTCCAATGGACACTCGACCGAAGGCCACGCCCCCTTCCCCATGGCCACGCCCCTTTGACCATGGCCACGCCCATTTCCCCAATATCCACGCCCCTTCCCAACTGGCCGCGCCCCTTCCCCAAATGGCCACGCCCCTTCCCCATTGACCACGCCCCTTCCCCAAATGGCCACGCCCCTTCCCCTAATGGCCACGCCCCTTTCCCCTTGACCACGCCCCTTTCCCAATGACCACGCCCCTTCCCCAATGTCCACGCCCCTTTCATGTGACCACGCCCCTTCCCGTGGCCACGCCCCTTCCCGTGGCCACGCCCCTTGTTCCGTGGCCACGCCCCCTCAGCCGAGCCCCGCCCCCGCAGGCGCCGGCGCTGCCCTGGCTGAGCCCCGAGGAGAACGAGGCCCTGGGGCGGGGCCTGGGGCGGCTGCAGCGCGTGGCACAGGTGAGGGCACACCTGGGCACACCTGGGCACACCTGGGCACACCTGGGCACGGCCGGGAGGGGCGGGGCAAAAAAAACCCGGGGGAAATGGGGTGAAAAATGGGGATTTTGGGGGTTTGGGGTTGCCTGAGATACACCTGGGCACACCTGGCACACCTGGGCACTCACCTGGCACACCTGGGCACACCTGGGCACAGCTGGGCACACCTGGGCACACCTGGGCACCGCCGGGAGGGGCGGGATGAAAAAAACCCGGGCGAAATGGGGTGAAAAATGGGGATTTTGGGGGTTTGGGGTTACCTGGGCACACCTGGGCACACCTGGGCACACCTGGG